AATGGCACTGAGATTGCGTGTGGCCCTGAAAACGTAAGACCCTCTCCACTTCTTGCTCTTTTCTGTGTGTTCTCTTTTTTTAATCAATGAGGTTGCTTCAGATTTTCCCGATTTAAACTTTTTGTCTATTTCTCTATTTTGCCCTTTTTTCTCAGATTGAGGAGTTTTTGAGTCATTGCTCTCCGGTCAGGTGTCTCTTTTTCGGAAGTGCCAAGTCAATGTCTAAACTTTCATTGACATGTTTGCTCATAAATTTTGAAGATTTTGGTCATATAGGCAACTTAATTGAGCTAGACATTTCGTCAAACACTTGGTAGTCATAATCTCGGAACTGGTCCAAACTATGGCTGATCAGTTCTCCAATGAAATAAAAGTGAACTTCTTGTTGAATGCAACAGAAGATTCAAGAAACCCATGTCAAAAGTTTCCATTTTTCTTACTTGAGATTGATGTTTCTTTATGATCTTTACTTGAATCTGTGATTCCAAAACCCATTGCTTCTTCACATCACTTAACTTTGAAACACACATTTCTCTGGAAAATCTGACTTTTACAGACAAAAAAAGCTGAGCAAGAAGAATTTCACCATCAGAAACTTCCTCCATAAGAACAGAAGCTAGTCTACTTGTTAAAGGAACAAACTTTATATTACTTTGCTTATTATACACTAACCGATTCGATTTCTGCAACCACACAACACACAATCTCTCTGTACTTTGGAGCTTGAAATTAGGAGGAACCACAACATTACAAGTTCCTCAAACGATCAAAGTAACAATTCAATAACAATGAGATCTTTACTACTAAGTAGGTTTAGTCTTTCATCCATCAACTCAATCCCAATTAGATTCTTAATCATATGATTGCAAACCTTTGGAGCTTAATTATCCATCGAAACAAACAACAAAACAATGGAGTAACCAAACACCAAAGAACAATCTAACATTCATTTATGCGTTTATCAGAAAACAAAAGATGTATTTCAAAAACAGCAGACTTTGAAACGCAAATCTCATCCCAAAACGCAAAAAAACAAAAAAAAAGGAACCTTTATTACTCCAAATCCTGAACGATCTTGATCCCCATAGACTTAGCAGTACCAATGATAGATTTGCAAATCGATTCCAATGGCATATACTGACAAAACGGATCCGTCTGCTTCACCTTCGCGATCTCGTACACGTGTCTCACCGAAAGCGTCGTCACCGTCAAATGTCCCGGTCGTGTGCTCCCTTTATCAATTCCGGCTGCTTTCTTGATGAACCACGACACTGTCGGAGATTTAAGTGTGAAATCGAACGAATTGTCCTTGTACGCCGTTATCGTCACGGCAATCGGAGTGTCAGGTTTGTACTTTTGTGTCCGAGCGTTAAAGTCCTTGCAGAAAGCCATCAGGTTAAGCTTGTACTGCCCTAACGCCGGAGCGATTGGTTGTACTGGTTTTGCCCCTCCGGCCGGAACCCTAAGCCGTATCGTCGCCAACACTGGTCGTGTCAGGATCTCCTTCGCAGCCGCCATTGTTGGGATCGTGGAAGAGCTTCTACAGGTTCGAGGGTTTTTCTTTTCACATGGAGTGAAGAGATTAGGTCTTGGGCTTTTATTTGGGCCCTTATATTAAGCCCATTAAATCTAAGATTTCAACAAAAGCCATTTTTATTTCATAGTCTTGTAATTGTTGTTGAGTTTTGATGGATCATTAACTAAGAAAAGAGCCATTTAATAAGGTTATTGTGGAAGGTGAATTCCGTACTAAGTATTTGTATGCAAAGTCGGAAAAAAACTTTGATCCTAAGAAATATCTATAAATTCAACGATTAAAAGAAGAGTAGAGTTAAGCTGGATTTATATTGATATGAATCGAATATACAATAAGATCTCGAATGAGATGTTGTTACAAGCTGAAATGTATTGTTTAAGTTCTCGCGTCAGTAAAAAAGTTGGCGAAATCTCCTCAGACTTCATGTATTTATAGCTCGATTCTGCTCCTTGATCCAGCTCCACGTATCGAGGGCGGTTCCCCGTATCTAGGGCACGTTCTCAGCATATTTTCCGGAAATTTCGCTCTTTTAACTGTGCCAACTGCCATGTTGACTCGTTTCTCGTTGACATTGTAACCGTAGAGCTGACTTCGGGTTCTCAGGGCCGATTCGGGCCTTAGGACCGAACCCTATATTTTCTCTGATAATGAGCCTCGGGCCCATTGTAATTTTCTTAATGATAGATTTTGACTCGGGCTTTTAGTGGGCCGGATTCTGTGACGTATCCAGCTCCAACGATTTTTTTTTTTTTGCTAAACTAATTTAATAAGGTTATATTAACCATAACATGTAAATATGTAATAATGTACTCCTTTATATATGAAAAAATATAATTGAAATGTTGGGTTGAGTTTTGTCTGTCTAATTAACCGTCCTACGTCTAAAGAGTTATGTTTCATGGTGGTGGTAATTTCGGAGAAGTGGTCGGGTTTTTAGTCGGATATGAGTTAATTTGTGGAGTTTCAAAAGTTTTTTTTTTAGAGTTTGCGCTAGACACATTTTTAATTAGTTTATAGATACAAATAATGTATTTAGTTAATCGATAAATAAAATGTGTTTGTGAAAGAAAAAAAAATGGTTATATGAACAAAATAATTATCAAATGCTATCCCATTACCATTAATCTATTACATGTTATGATGAATATAACCATAAACACTCAATGACAATTTCTATTGAGGTGGATTCTACTTCAGATAACCAAGTCTAGAAAAACCTGGTCATCAAGAACAAAGCAATCGATTCGTAGCAACAAATATCATAATCCATAAATCAAGAAAACAAACATCAACGACATGGTGATGATGATGCTTCTACGGAACAAAAAAAAAAAGATTAAAGATACAAAGAGAGAAGCGATATCATTCAACAACGAAGCTAGACACGAAAGTGGATAATCGAGCTAAGAAGACCGAATAAAACGTTCCGGTAAGGAGGAACATAATAAAATCTTGAGAGATCTTTTAGAAAAAAGAAAAAAAGTCAACGGTAAATAATATCGAGAAACTATCAAGCCGATACGAGGACGAAGAGCATATATAGGCCGGCTTAATTATAACATTAGATAATTAAAAAGATTATGATAAAATGACTAGGAAAAGTAAGAACTATAGATTGTTGTTTCATTTTTCCCAAAACTCAATCAATTTGTATTTATTAACGTGTTTGGAAGTTGGAATGAAATATGCAATAATTTCCCTTAAAAAGGAGATCTTGTTATGTTTTTAAAGAGGCCATGATCATAAATAATAACCAACTTTTACCATTGTCATGTTTTTAGTTACATAATTAGTACTTAGTAGTACATCAAATTAACCGAATCAAACAAAAATGAAAGAAAACCCAAATTTTTGCCTTTCTCTAGTTGCTTATTTAAATCAAATTAACTAACAAATGAACTGACTCTTACCTAAACCGAAATAACAAACAGAAACTCGTATTCAATTTGATCGAAGAGTATATTATTACAAATTGAAAGATAGAGATAACATAAAGGGAAATTATTGTTTCCACCCATAGTTCTATTCTATAATGACGGCATGACAATTGCATCGATCGTTTTATGACGTCGTATATATTTTTAAAATTAATCTTTAAAAACTCAAAAGTCAACACAAGTTTGCGCACCGACATGATATTGCTTGCGTTACAAACATGGCACATACTGTACACGTAACATGCATGACTTATCTCCAAATTTCTCTTGTTTTTTTTTTAAATCACGAGGCATGCTCGTTATTGCTTTGCTGCATATAAGCATATATTCAACTCTTTGAAGTCTCAAAACTGATCTTTATGGGCTTTTAGATTTTGTCAACTTTCGCTACTTCGAAAACATAGTCCAAAACTACCATTTCTCTTATCATTGATTCAAAACATTTTGATATATGAATTAAGTAATGTCTTATTAGCTGTAATCGCAAGGAGTGATCTTAATTATCATATTATATGTCAAAAGATGCATCAACTTATTCTTTCGGTCTCATGTTCGGTCTCATGTTTTTAAATAGAAGAAATGTTTCAAAAAAAACAAAAAATCTACTTGTTCTTTCTCAGAAAAAAAAAAAAGGTGCATCTACTTGTTGTAATTAGTTCTTGCCCATAGACTTAACCGTACAAGATACTTAGCAAAACAGAAAAAATGCATATGTGACATTTAGACACGCGCATACAATATGAAGCTAGTTTCTAGC